TGAGAATACAAGTTGGATAATTAGGAAATTCACTTACAAAAAAATGCCAAAAATATTTACGCCTACCCCAAAGTTGGAGATTATACCTCTTAGTTTTATCAAGAAAAAAAAAAAAAAAGCTCTACCCAAAAAAATTATGCAGCTAAGGAATTGATAGTTAAACCTTAAAATGCTTCCCTTGTTTCTAATGGAGACTTTGTATTATGCTCTAATTTCTGAATTGCATGAATATATTATGTTGTCCTAAGGTCCAATGACAAATAGAAATGTCTATTAGTTACCATGAATATATTATGTTGTCCTAAGGTCCAATGACAAATAGAAATGTCTATTAGTTACGGCTACATACAACTATCATGGATTTTTATTCTACATTCGATCGATCCGACAATTTTGGCTTTGCCTTAGATGTCCTCTCTTATCCGATGAGCTTCATATGAATAGATTCCTTTTCTTGTAAATTGCATCTTAATCGGACATATCATAGCGGACGTGTCTATTTTTTTTTATTTGTTTTTATTTTTAAATCTTTGAATTTTATTGTAGAATATAAAACATAATTTACATTTAGAATTATATTATTATTATTATTATTATTATTATTATTAATTTTACATTTGATTCTATATGTTAGATTTCATTACTAATTTAATTTTACATTTGATTCTATATGTTAGATTTCATTACTAATTCCATTATCCCTCTTCTCAATAATCACCTTGCTCACCTTTTCCTACAATATCATATCCTTCCCTTTCATCCTCCTCCTTCTCCTCCTCCTTCCCTTTACTAAGGCAGTATCCTTTGAAATAACACGCTTCGACACAAATGACACCAGAATAATCTACGAGGGCGGCATGACCCCGATTTCCGGAGCCATCGAATTCAACGATGTAAATTATATGTGCCAATTGGCAGAGCCATTTTTGCAGAGAAAGTACCTCTTTGGGATTGAAAAATGAACCAACTCATTGATTTCACTACCGATTTCTCTTTTTACATCGATATTCAAGGCTGTAACCAGTATGGTTCTAGTCTTGCTTTCTTTCTTGCTCCTGTTGGATCTCACATCCCACTAAATTCTATTGGTGGTTTCTTTGGCCTATATAACTTCGCAAACAGCGATTTAGCTGAAAATCAAATGGTTCATATTGAATTTGATTGCTACTTTAATCGCGAATGGGACCCAAATTATCTTCATGTGGGTATTAATAATAATTCAATTCATTCTTCCGTGTTTACTCATTAGAATGCTAGTTTTCACAATGTTTATCCTGCTAATGTGTCTGTTGCTTATAACTCAAAATCCAAGAATTTAAGCATTTCTTGGAAATATCGAAAACTTCAATTCCTTCAGAAAACACAAGCCTTTTTCTTATTATTGATCTAATGATGATTCTTCCTGAATGGGTCATTATTGGGTTTTCTGCTAGTACTAGCAATCGCATAGAATGACATGTAGTTCAATCATGGAAGTTCGATTCGAATTTGGAGATACATGAAGTTTTCTGCTAGTTTACTAGCAAATCGCATAGAAATGACCTGTAGTTCAATCATGGATATAGTTCGATTCGGAATTGGGAGATACATTGAAGAAAAAGGGAAAATAAAACTCCTTTTCAAAATTACGGCTTGTTTAGTAAGGTTTAAGCAGTTTCTAGAACTATTCGTGTTATAACTGCTACCGCTACATTTGTTTATTTTCAGCGTAAAGGAAGTGAAAGATAAAGAGCTTCAAAAGAAGGGAAAATGACGGTTTGGAAATCAATTAACATTTGAAAACCTTGGGGAAAATGGAAAACCGAACTGATGAAGTTTTTCTTTAATTAACATTGAACTTGAAAATGAAACCGAACTGAGAAGTTTTTCTTACAAGGATCTTGTTAAAGCTACAAGTAACTTCTCAAATAAGAAGAAGTTAGGTCAGGGAGGATTTGGTGCTGTTTACAAAGGATATTTAAGTCACATAGGCAGAACTGTTGCTATAAAGAAAATTTCAAGTAGTTCATAAGATGGAAAACGAGTATATGTCTGAGGTAAAAATTATTAGCCAATTGAAACATAGAAATCTTGCGCAACTTATTGGATGGTGTCATGATAAAGGCAAATAGGAATGATGGTTTCAGAGATATGGCAGTGAGACTGCTGTAAAGGAGGATTACTAGCTTCTTGAACCTTTTTTTAGGGTCATCGCTCCCTGAGTTCAAGAGTCTACACTCTCGCGTCATACGGCTCCGCCCTGAAATCAGGACCTCCCCTTTTCTTTGACCAACAGTCCTCAAACCAATCTTTCCTCTGAGGAGGCTCTTTCCTTCTTTCCCGTCAAGATGTGCCCTTGAATTTGAATCAAGCCTCGAAGCACGCGGTGGGAACATAACTTAAGAACTCTCTCGTAGATGATTTTCTGCCATTTTCCTCCTGCACCCATTCCTAATCAGATCCTATTTGGCTTTTTCTTTAAGAGATCTATCTCCACGTTCTTCCTACCTCTAGACTTCTCCTGCTACACGGGGGAAGTTCCCCTACTGAAAATGCTAGGGAAAGGTTGCTCAACCCCTCCAATTTCTTTCCAGGACAGTCTCACTGGCATTACCTCTGAGTGAAGGAAACTGCTTCGGGAGCAAGACTTGGTGGCCTAGTCTTACGATTCCGAGCAAAAGGCCTAAATCAGCATGACTTTTAGGCAGGAGTAGCAAAAGGGACCAAGATTCCTTACAACTCGTACCAATAGCGGCACTGAATGGCCTGAGATTGATTTAAAAGGCAGCTCAGCCGCCCCTCCCCTTTTGTGGGCACCGGGGCCAGAAATCAATGTATAAAGGAACGCTTTGCTTAAAAAAAGAATGATGAAGGGCGGGTCAGAAAGGATGACACATTTGTTATCTCCAGTTTGAAACTAAGGGTCTGGAGACTGATAAACTCGCCTGCAAGCAAATAGAGTAGAGATGATGAAGGGGCGGGTCAGAAAGGATGACACATTTGTTATCTTCAGTTTTTGAAATAAGGGTCTGTTGAGGGGACTTTGATTAAAAACTCGCTCCTGCAAGGCAAAATAGGAGTAGGAGAGCTTACCCTTTCTTTTCTTATTAGAGTCGCGAGCTTGTTGGTAAAGTCCGGTCCCTAAAGGCACTAAAGGGATAACCTTTCTTGTTATGAGATCATTGCCTAATCGGAGTCTTTTGATGGCTACCTCTTCGAGGAAGAAATTTCCATTAACCTCGGGGGGACTGTTAAGATACAAAAATTTGCTCGTAGCGTTTAGCTTCAGCTTTTGCTTCTTAACCTCTCATGGAGAAATTGATTGGAAGTGGAAATATTGGTGTGTTACAGAACCGGCAATAATTAAAAAACTAAATAAAAACATTAATCTAGACTCAGAGTTTTAATGTTAAGGACTTGGTGACTTTGGATTAGCTAAAATACATGGAGCAGATTGCGGGTTACAGACAACCCAAAACAGTGGCTAGCATTAGCAGCGTATTAGCTCCAAGGGATTATTAAGTTTACAGGATAGGCAGTAAACGGTCTGATGTTTTTATCAGTTTTGGGTTTTGTTGCTATTAGAGCATTGTCACCGTAAGAAAAAAAAATGGAGTCGAGCTTTGTTGGAGCATTTTTTTAATAAATGGAAAATGATGACATGATGTGACTGGCTAGTGGATCTCTTTTACGGAATTGGGAATTTATAAAAAACGGAGTTGATGGAGATACTTGAGATGGATTTTGTGATGACAGACAAAATGGATTGTTTGATGGTTGTTAGGATTGTGTTGTTGCTTCTATTCTGATAAAAGATTATGCCTCCTATTAAAGCAAGTAATTCGCATGTAATTTTGAAAGTGATTTACCTAAATCTTGAAACAAGGAAATTCAACAAATCCCTGTTAACGTTTCAAAAAGGAGGAATAAAATTCAGGCAATGGCAGTTAATGTTCCAGAAGGAGAAAAATTTCAAAGGCTGCGGGATTTTCTTCTAAGCTCTACACAAATTTCCACAAAAAATTTTAATGTAATATTCCAAGTGTGTTGGGGAGAGTCCGTTAAAACAAGTCAATTATTGTGGTGTTGGTTAAAGAGTTGCTTGTTTGATAAAATTAATGCATTTTTTCTTTGCAAGAAAATCCAACAACTATCTCGATTTTCTTTTTGTGTTGCACATGTATTTAACCTTTCACGATAAAATTCTTCCAGAGGATACAATTTTACTCCTACTTTCATTCAGTCGCATTCGATTGGAAATACTTTAATATTATAATTTTAAGAAAATAAAAAAATAAAAAAAAGAAAAAATGTGATATAACCCAAATTATTTTTGTTTGTGATTAAAAATTGTCTCTTTTCATTCTACAGTAAATTTAACAAAAAATATTATTTCAAATTCCAAAATCATGCTTTTACCTTATTCAATTCCAAAATCATGCTTTCACCGCTCCAAAACACCAAAATTACAAATTACATTTAGCAACAACTTGTTGCAAATGGGAAAATCAATAAAAATGAAAAATGAAAATCACCAATGTAAAAATCTCCTTGAAAAAAGCAATTATTGTTTGTTGTAAGAGTTGCTTTTGATAAATTATTGCTTTTCTTTGCAAGAAAATCAAAAACTATTCCATTTTTTTTTGTGTTGCACATGTATTTAACCTTCAAGATAAAATTCTTCAGTGAGAACTCCAATGTAAAAATCAATAAAAATGAAAAATGAAAATCACCAATGTAAAAATCTCCTTGAAAAAAGAACCCATTAATTAACAAGAGCACACTGTTTCCTGATTTCACCTGGAGCACACTGCTTTCCTGATTTTTCACTTGGCTGTGCCTAGTTAGTAGCAAATCTCCAATGGCGGCCCCAGGTTTTGGACCACTTGAACTAACCAAACCTCTTGTTTTTAAGAAAAGGGGGTTCCATTTTTGCGGGAAGATTGACGCAAAACAATAAGTTCTTGGTTTGAATATCATTCAGGTAAGAGCCGCATCAGATGGAAGAATCCCTCTTCTTGTTATGGGGAAGATTGACGCAAAACATAAGTTCTCGTTTGAATATCATTCAGAAGAGCCGCATCAGATTGGAAGATCCCTCTTCTTGTATTTACTACGTTGTAATAATCACTGTCGAATGTTCTGGAGCTTCCAGGATCCATTTCAACAACTGTGGTGCTGTCTCCAGGCTTACATTTCGTCTTTAACTCAGCTGCATATGTTGCGTTCAACGAAGGGTCAGTGTCGCCTCTACCACTAAAATTGTACAATCGATCTGAGATTACAAAGCATTGTCCAATTCCAATAGTGTGCGCTCCTGCACCAAAAATAACAATTTAAGTTTAAAAATGTCGAGGATCTATTGGCCCGTCGACCATGGTTAAGTTTCTACATAAATTAAATTTTTCTTGGATCAAATTAATAAGATAAAAATTCTTATTGATGATTAAAAAATGCTTGATAATTTAGGTTTTTCTTTCTTTGGCAAACATAAAATTATATTACCTGATAAAACCACTAGGTCCTCTACACTTAGCCCTTTTGCAGCAAAATTTTTCTTCAGTTGAGTTATATTGGCAAAAGGAGATGGTAACTGTGCTGAAGCCTCCGAAGCATTAGACACACTTCCATCTCTACGTCCGGTAGGAACATCCCAAGATGGTCCTCCAATCTGACATATTAAAAAAAAAAAGTTTATGTAAATATCAATAGTTTATGAATTAGACATAAGCAAGTTCTGATGATTTTCTGAATAAGAAAAAGTTGATATTGATTATACCATTTGAACAGAATCTCGAGCTGCCAAAGCCAAAATATCAGCACAAGAAACAACACCAGTACAGTTGTTTTCTATTTCAGATTTGCTGCCAAAGCCCAAAAATATTTCAGCAAAAGAAAAACACACACCGCAGTTACAGTTGTTTTCTAATTTCAGATTTCTTATTAGCATCAATTTACATTTTGAAAACCTCTTAAAGTTTGGTTTTGGGATCGCATCTTTCTCAAGCCTTGGTTTGTTATCTCGGGTATGAGATTTAATAGCACTAGAAGCCATCACATCCCTGGCAAAGATAAGAATTTCATTGATTACTTACGTGTGGACAAAGATACTAGTTGTGACAAAATAATATTTTGTGGTAACAAACTTTTTGTCATAATAAATTAGTTTAAATGACAAATTAACTTGCCGTAATAAATTGTTTGATTACAACAAAACAGGATTTTGTCACAAGAAACTTATCGAGACAAGCTTATTGTGACGAACTAAATTTATAACAAACTAAATTTATAATTTCGATTAAGGACGTACGTTGCTGCATATAACAAACTAAATTTATAATTTCGATTAAGGACGTACGTTGCTGCATATTAAGGACTTACCCTAACGAAACAATCATGAAAATGCATCCTTAGTAAAGGAGCAGCAAGAGTTGGATCACTGGAAATAAACTTTTGAACGACATTGTGGAAAATAAGCTCTGCATTAGGACATGTCTGCTTATAGAACCCTAGTTGTAATCCTTTGGAATTAGTTAGGTCTAAGCATAACCCAATATTTAAGTTTAACAATTGAGAATTAGTTGAGCTTAAGAAAAGAAAGAAGAGAATTAGTTGAGGAAAGAGAAGTGAAAGAAGCTTTTGGATCGCCATTGTCTAAGAGCTGCTTGAAGAAGTGTTTTCTAGGCCTGAAGCATATTGGAGAACAATTTTCGCTTAAGGTCAAAATAATTAAAAAGTTGACTAATGGCCTCTCTTAGCAAAATACATGCATGCCACTCATAGCTCAAAACAAAATAATAATAGTAATAATCCAATTAAAAGTATTTTAACTAACTTTTTTTGTCACTCCTCGGTTCTTTTTATATAGGCACAACTTATTTTTCATCAAGATTTAAAAAGTATTTTAACTAACTTTTTTTGTTATTTTTTTCTTAATTTACCCTTAATATATCATTTATTTTTCCTCTAATATCAATACATGTCTTAAATTATGTTTCAATCTTCAATGAGATTTTAAATATTTTGTTGAAATGAGTAGAATACAAACAGTTGGAAAAATGAAGTTTATGCTCTAACGTGCAGGGAGCAATTCATTTTTTGTCCTTTATTTAGGAAAGTTATGTGAGAATATGAAAATTTATATTCATTTAATCTTCCAACTACTTTTAATTATTGAAAATATACTTTAAATATTGCATGATTTTTTAAATTTTCTGTGAAGTCCGTAAAAATTCATTTCAATGTATCCAACTTGAAAATTCTATGGTTTTTTTCTATTCAAACTTCTTTTTTTTTTTTTTTTTTTTTTTTTTTTTTTTTTTTACAATGGAAATTGATGTAAAAAATATACTCACCAAAATTTATTTACATTAAGTGTTCATCTATACTTTTGTCTACCACTATCTTAAGAATCTCTCGAACTAAAAGTTTTACAATTATTAAAATAAAAATAAGATAGACATTTCATATTAGAATGTTCTCAAAATTACCAAAATTAAGTAAAATTTTCTATACAAAAGAACATCCAAAAAGGAAATTTTTCCTATATAAAAAGATCAGAGAACGGAGAGAGTATTTTATTTCTTTTTATCACCAACTAATAAGCGCTCATAAAAAGAGATAATAATAAAAGCAGAGACTAAATTTCTTTTACGTGATAATAAGTTGTAATTTTGCCAACACTCTAAAATCTCACCTCCAAAGTTTCAAAGTTGCTGCTCTTCTTTATTTAAATAAATAAATGATTATTTTAATGTCACATCAATAGCTGTTGAACTTGGGATGTCAACATGCTATATCAATGGAGAAGAAGCAACACAGGGAAGAACATGATTAGCACCAATTCCTAATTATTTAAGCACCAATTTCCTTAATTAGCAATTGCTTTATTTGGCTTATATAATTTTATTAAAGATAATTTTTAGTTTGGACTAATTTGATTGCTTTTATTTTTACTTTTTCCCTGAATTTTTCCCTGAAGTTAGGACTCAACTCAAAACTTGTAGATATAATAATTGCATTTCATTATTAATATTTTCTTTTTTCAAACAAGCCAAGTTGTGATTAGGATGGTAATGGGTATGGTTGGGATCATGTAGTGCAATATCCATACCCAAATTCAATTCTATTCTCAATCCTCATATGTTACGTAATATCTTATCGGGTACGAAATATTTTATCAATCTCTAAAGTCAAAGGATTTAGGTATTTCCATGGATACCCATTATCCGTTGATATTCATTTATCCACTTATTCATTTTTCAAAAGTTAAATTATATCGAATGAAAAAATTAAATAATTATCCAAATGATTTATATAATACATAAAAAATATGAAAATAAATTAATACATAAATAAATATCTGAACAATGGTAAATTAAAATTTTAATTTTAAAGTTGTTCTTTTTATTATATGAATATTGGAATATTTCAAATCACTGTCGATACAATTATGATTTTTTCTTCCATTAATTATGATTTTTCTCCATTATTTGAACTGAAATTAAATATTAAAAATTAAATTTTGAATTTCAAAATCTAAAATTTTAAAAATTCGATCAATTCAAATTAATATATGAAAACTAGAGTGAACTTATTTTGCACTATACTACATTAAATTATAATTTATATAGATAATCTACCACAAGTAATCAAATTTATTAAAAATTGTATAAAAAATAATAAAATTTTAAATATTTGGGATTTGAATTTCAATTATGGGATCGGCTTCGGTTTTTTAATAGCAATACCCATACCCAAAATAAAATTTTGAATTTTATCTATACCTTATCGAAATCCAGTCAAAATCTTAAAATTCGGATTTGATTGGATTTAGATTGGGTGCATACCTATCAGATCGGGTTGATTTTACCATCCCTAGTTGTGATGTCAAATAGATCTTGAGTACTTATAAATTATAAGTTTATAAATGAATTTATTTCAAAAAAAATACTTGTTGTCTACACTGTGTATATGTACCATTCATCAGTTCACCCAATTAACTAATTGAATTAATTATTATATATCATCTCCATGAGGTATACTAATTGAATTTGAGAAATCATATGAAACAAAATCCTGATTTTTTTGATTGAAATGTATGTGTGTGTGTATATATATATATATATAGATACACACTGAGATATACAATTATTTATGGCTAATTAATACCACAATTACCAACAGGAAAATGATTGCATACAAATGCAGAACAAAACATTAATCTCCTAATTTGCTATAAAAAATATTCATCAGTTATATATTGCCTATTAACTGATTATCTGGACAAGTAAACACAAAATGATGAGTAGATCCATCCTCAGGAGGATTAAAGAAGAGGTATATATGAGATCCATCAAGAACTCCGCAATCAACTAGAGATGCACCATCCCCGTCTTCATTATTTATAAAACGACTTTGATTGTTATCGAGAAATAGAATCAGACGATCATGAGGTAACTTTTGTTGTGCACCGATCTCTCGCTTAAGATCGGCAACCGTAGCATCATTGCCCAGTTGAACGTAAAAGAGGCTTCCTGTCAATATCTCCACCGCCACCTTCATTCTAAATCCAAAAGTTTTAATGTTTTGTTTCCATTCTCAATCTGATTTGGTGAGAGAGATGAAGGGAAAGAAAGGAATAGAGAGATCTTTGCAATGACCGATTATTACTATCGAAAGGTGTTCACGTTTGCTGCATTGTCGCTAGTTAGTTTGCTACATGCATATATTATGACTTGCGTGTATAAATACAAATATACATACAAGACAAACTTGTGCAATTATTATTTATTTTAGGACAAAAATCATAATGTTTATATTGGGAATTTAGGATATTCACATCCAATCAATATAATTAATTTTCTACCATAAGAAGTAACTCAATTTAGGATATTCACATCCAATCAATATAATTAATTTTCTACCATAAGAAGTAACTCAATGATACGGTATATTTAAAAATAATGGAAGAATTCACTCCATGACAAACGTTTGTGGAAAGAACTAACAATAAACCTAAAACGATATTAATCTCACACAGTCATAAATGAAAAAAAATATTATATAAATAGTCCTATTTAAAGCCCATAGTGATATATAACCAAAGTTTTAATTATGCACAACAAGACATAGTCCAGTGGTAAGTACATTTCGACCTAATAGTAGATCTAGGTTTAAATTCCCCTTTCCCTAATATTTTTTTAAAAAAAATTCTTAATTAGAATCTAATGTGGCCAATATTTTCCTTTTTTTTTTTTTTTTGAAAGGGCAATATTTTCCCATATGAACTTCTACCATCTGACTTTTTGACAGAAGGATTAGAGTCATAATTTAGAAACCTTATAATTAACTTTTTAAAATAAAAATCATCAATTCCTCAAGAAACCTTAGCAACTATTTTTTCTTCCCCTTTCTTCAATTCCTCAAGAAAGCTCACATAAAAAAATAAATTTATCTTGCATGTGTTGATATTGGGCCTTGGCACATCACTTTCTATAATTTATACTACTTGTAAACATGGAAATTCGAGGGGAAATAATTGAATTTTCAATAATGTCTTTAATAAAATTTGAAAATCTTAAAATAATTTTAATCATAACTAATTATATTTTATTAGTTAATTGAATATAATTTGTTAAATTTTCATTTTTTAAATAAATAAATATTGATAACTAAATATTTTATGTTTTATATTTTTAAAATTTATTTTTAATAAATATATATGGTAATAAGACATTTGAAACTTTTTATATTTTATTTTTTAAATATTTGATCCTGTTTTTATTATAATTTAAATTATTTTATTTAGGAGAGAGATAAAAAAAGAAAAAGGAAAATTTAGGAGAGAGATAAAAAAAGAAAAAAGGAAACATTGGATTCACAAAAAACACTCGTACTAAGTTTATGTATTAACAAAAATATCATAAAGATTTTAATTTTATTAGTTTTAAAATAATAATAATTTAATTTTGATCGGTTATTTAATTTTCTATTTAAAACTAAATTCTACTGGATAAACTAAAAAATTATATTACATTAGGCATATAGTAAATATGATAAGAATATAATATCTTTAAGGATTTTAATTTTATTTATTAAACAAATAAAGATAGTTTAATTTTAATTGGTTATATTAATTTTCTATTTAAATTTAAATTATATTGGACAAATAAATAAATTATATTACATACTATGTAATGTATATAATAAAATATTTTTAAGATTATAATTTTATTGATAATTTAATTTTGATTGGTTATATTAAATTCTTATTTAAACCTAAATTTTGTAAAGATATCATATCTTTAAGGATTTTAATTTTGTTGGTTGAACAAATAAAGATAATTTAATTTTGAATGATTATATTAATTTCTTAGTTGAATTTAAATTCTATGAAATAAATTAAGAAATTATATTATAGTATATTAAATATGGCAAAAATATAATATATTTTAATTTTATTGATTGAATAAATAAAGATAATTTAATTTTGATTGGTTATATTAATTTTCTATTTAAATCTAAATGGATAAAAAAAATTATATTATTTACTAAATAAAGTATATAAAGTATATTATTAAATTATTTTAAGAATATAATATTTTTTAAGAATTTTAATTTTATTGTGTTGAATAAATAAAACAGTAATTTAATTTGATTAATTATATTTTTTTGATTAAATTTTAAATTCTATTAAAATAAAATAAAAAATTATATTATATGGACCTAAATAAGGCTATATATATATTAAACATTGAAAGAATACAGAATTCAATTGATAAAATAAGAAATTATATAATATATTAAATATGATATATTAAATTATATTAGATATTAAATAAAGTATATTAAATATGGTATGTTAAATAAAAAATTTTACACGTAATTTTTTTAATAAATTTATTAGCTCACTAGTTAATAGCATAAAGAAAATGAAGGAATTCACCTCATCAACAATGGCATGCAGGCAGTGAATTAAAATACCATGAAGTATGAAAACAAGTTTACCTAGTACCAATAAACAAGAGGAATGATTGTTACCAAATTCACAAACAAGTATGTCATCCACATTTCTGTGCTCAAATTCAAATTTGTTCCAATGGACACTCATTATTTGATAAGAACAACTTACAATGGGGAAAAGGATTGAACAATTACAATGGGGAAAAGGATTGAACAATGACAGGCTGGGGGAACAAACATGGCAGGATAAGACAAAAGCAATATGAACTTTCCCCCACAAATAAAAAGTCTAATGGCTTAAGACTGTAAGATGTTAATGGTAGCGTGAAATGAGTTTTCCTTTTCAGTAATCGTCCTTGTAAGCATAGGATTTAACAATAGGCACTGAGAATCCGCATCACGACACAGGCAAGTAAAACTTGTACAAATTTGAACTTCAAGAGAGGCAAGATAAGATTGCAACTAAACAGTGATTTAATAGACAGAATCAAACAAGATAAGGAAGCTTGAGGCAATCTTTCGGATTCAACACAGCAAAGACCCATATTTTTTCTATAATAATTTACAGATTAAAAGAGTAGAAACAAATATTGAAAGAGTAGATGAAGTTTACCTCGAGATTGATATGAATGGTAGAGAAAGTGGAGAATGGTGGAGGTGAAAGCGAGATCAATAGCTGTAACTTGGATTTACAGAAGTGAATCAGTGAAGGTAGGGCAATGGGGTATTTTTGTAATTTCTAGAAACAGTGAAAGTTTCCTTCACAGATGTTATTTTCTCTCTGATTTTGAGAGACTGGAGTTTGGTGTGCCCGGGAGGATTTTACAGTAAATTTTCTTTCCCTAGCAATTTTCCTTGAAGCTTCCAAATAATGGAAAATCCCCTTCCCCAGTTATTTTACATGGCTATTTTCCTTCCTCCAAAACTTTCTACCCATCCAAACAGAGTGTTAAGGCTCGAAGCAATGGACATAAAAAATCAAACATGCTTTGTTAAACCCTGAACTTTCATCATGCAGTAATATTTTGTAGGTGCAATAGCACCAGCCTTTGTGAACAGATCCACGACAGCTGGTGCATGTCCATAAAAATTCCGCCATTCATCCAAAAGAACTGGAGGATCTTGTGGCCGTCTCCGCCACACAATCTTAGGAGGCACCAAATCATCTACCCCTGCCTTCTTCCAGAAGTGTGTTCCACGCCAACTCTCATACTTAAATATCCCACAAAGGCGAGCCTTATGTCCGGATGGCCCAACATGAACTTCTGAACAATGTTTGCAAACTTTTGAAGGATAAACAAACAACAACTTCTGCACACCTGATCTAACTGTCTCCCATGCTCTCAAAGTTTTATTAGCTACAAACACAAGATCCGAAGGTGACAAAGACTGAGCTTCATCAGAATCACCGATGACAATTTCCGAAGATACCTCAGCACCTGCTTGCCTGCATAGCTCAACAACTGCAGGAACACGATCAAAATCAAATCTTTGGTCATGTTTGATAATCTTTTGGAACATATTATCCAGGCGAAATGTCTCTGCTGGGACAACTATATCATTTAGACCACCAGTAATCCATTCATGAACCTGATTTTTAGGGCCACGCCTGTAACCCCAGCAAGTCTTAATTAAATGGCCTTTCTCACCAATGTATACTTCTGGACAGAACCTGCAAAGACATTTTTCAGATGGACATAAGAAATGCTGATTAATCAAAGTGAAAATATCATATTTTTCATTCTTGTTACGTATTTTTCATAGTTTATGCCAATTCTTGTTAAATTCAAAGGATAATCAAACATCAAATAATCAAAACTTACTTGCAGGCAACCACTGGAATCACCCGGGTGAGAATAGATATCCCTTGAATAAGAAGCATTCTGACTCCAAGGACTTCTTGCGCAAGGGGAAGCATTTCTTGAATAGGATACACCTTTGCTCTATTTTCTACTCTCTTCAATATCATAGGCCTTAGCTTTTTCCAGTCAACTTTAGAGCTATAAAATCTGAATTGCATGATGTAGCTATTACGATCTGTGGCAAGATTTCGCCACATTTTTCACTCAACACATCTAAACCTGATTTAACAAGATTTGCCCAAGATTTCGCCACATTTTTCACTCAACGCATCTAAACCTGATTTAACAAGATTTGCCCATTAAAAAACGGTAAGGCAATAGATCAAACAGTTGGTGGGCAAGAGCATAACTGAAGTTGGCAATGGTCTCTTGTACCAATGAAAATTCCCCTATAAAAGCAAGAATTTGGCGTGTGTATATAGTTACAACTGAGAAGTTTGATTAATCAGCTTCAGTAAGTAACTAGAAGCCGATAACATTATATATATGACATAGATGGACTCAGTATGTCCAGGAACAAAAGGGTTGATTTTCAACTGCAAATCCATTGGAATAAATAATTTATCTCATAATTTGTGCCAACCAAATTTATAAAGCGTAAATGATTGTTTTGAATTCTGAAGCTAAGAAAAAAAGGTCTTCTGATTTCGTTGAAATTTCGTTGAAATTATTATCTATTTATCACGCACTGGCACTGGAAAATGTCACTACTCATAGTCACGGTTGTATGCTAAGAATAACAAAACCCTGAGAAATTCCCCAAAATCCCTACCACCATTTCACTTGCTCTATCATAGCAACACCTATTTACACCCACAAAACCAAACCACACTCACACTAACTTATAGTGAAGAAAAAAAAAGCAAATTACCTGGCGATTGCTACTTGCGAGCCATAGAGCTTGCTGCAGAGATAGTCGCTTGTTGAGGAGATGGCTGCTGGTGGTGGAGTTGCGGTCGCCAAAAGAAAATTTTGATCTGGAATTAGAAGTACTTACTTTAAATTCATTGTTTGTCCAAAACTCCTCATTTTTTTTTTTGAAATAATCATTCGTTTCATTTTTTATTTTTTGCTTTCTTCATTAAATGTGTGACAAAAGGTAAAAAATATTTTTTCATCTTTTTACAAGATATTTAATGGAAAAAACTCCACAAATGAAAGTTAAATAGTTGAAGGAACCAAATATAAAAAATGAAATAATGTATTTGAAAAAAAAAACGAGGATGAATTGATTAATTTTAACATAATATAAAAATATAATATGATTTTTCTTTTGAAACTCACCAAGGCCGTGTGATTAAAAGTGGATTCAATGAATTATGACTACGTGGTTTTGATGGCAAAAAGTTATTAACAACACTATATATCCATATATATATATATATATATATATATATATAATATATATTATTATTGGAAACCATATATTATTTGTAAACCATTCAACTCCGTATACTTCCAGCGATTTTGAATAATATTAAGAATAAATATTAATTATTGTGAAGACTATAATTATAATATCATAAATCAATTGATATGTAAGGATTCTCATCATAATTTAATTAGTTAATAAAAATATTAAATTTATTTTTACATAATTAAAATTTTTAATTACACCAAGTTAATAAGAATGTTAATAATTCTGCATCCATAGTGAATAATTAATGGCCATCAGATTTTATTGTTTAAAACTTAGCCATTTGATGCTAGAATATAGGAGATATCAACTATCTACTGTATAGGTAAAAAATTCCTACTTAGTTTAAAAACAAAAATAATTGCTTAATGTACTATTAAATATTTATTTATTAATCCAAAATCAATTTCATCAACTTTATTTTTTAAGCCTACTTTAATTTGTATTAGAAAAACAATGTCAAATCACATATATTTATGCTATAATAAATTTTTATAAATGTAATATCATAAACATTTTTTTGTTAAATGTTTATTTCCCCTGATGAATATATATTATTAATTGAGTTAATTTTCATTTTTTTAAATATTTATATTAAATATTTCATTATTAGCTATTAAGCTTTGTAAAAGCAATTGTTTCACTTATTAAATTTAATATTAATTTTACACATCATTTACTTTATCTCATTTTAATTATTTTTTCTAAATTCTCCTTACTTATTATAATATTGTGATATAGATTTAAGAACTACCGGATTTAGATTCTAATTCTTTTCTTGTCTACAAGAACGTGAGCGGTAAAATTATTTAAAATAAATAAAAAAATTATTGTAATTGCACCTTTATTTTTACTTTTGATAAATATATCTTAAAATAAACTTAAGAAGATTAATACATCTCATAATTAAAATTTTAAAAAAGAGAATTGCAATTGCAACTAATACAGATTGAAAGGTAGACGGTAAACTTGTAGTAGTGGTTAGAACCTTGCTGAAGTAGAAAATATGATATAAGCTTATTTGGATTTGAGCCAAACCAAAACATTAAAGGTTAATACTAACAAAATTAGTGAATTAGCCTTTGCAATCTTTTATATACTCTTTGTAAATTTGTTATTAGTCGTGTAGAATTTTAAGAGAGTAAAATGTGAAATTCATTGGTAATTTTATTTTATATTCTAAAATGATTGATACATCATATGGTTGAAATAGAGCGAAATTTCATCATGTGCAAAGTTCACAGTATTTTACTATTTTTACTTGACAAAGATTTAACCTTCATATTTGAAATGAATTTGGTTATTTATTCCTCAATTTTATAATATTAATTACACCAAAAGTATCAAAATGTTATTTAATTAATAAGGTTTCAATTCACATATATAAACTAATTTTTTGTTATATTTAATTATTTCCTTGATTTGAAATAAACTAATTACATAGAAAATCACTTGATCAAAATTAAATCCCTATGTGAAACAAATTTCCGTTATATTTGATTTTTTCTCGATTTTGCCACAAGTTAATTACATCAAAGTATCGGCCTTTATTTTTTATAGGAACAATAAAAGAAATTATAGGGAAAATATTTTTTTCATCCATAGGGTTTTGCATAATTAATCAACTCGTCCTCGTGTTTTTGACTATTAATTATTTAGTCCCTGAGATTTGATTCTGTCACATTTAACTGCTTTTGCCGTTAAATCGATGTAAAAACAAAGAGAGAGGAGAAAGATATATTCTTAAATGTGATACTGTACCCTTAATGAGATCAATCAAAAAGAGATATTTTGAAATAGATTATATCTAATTTCCTTCCACTTCTGAACTTTCTCTACAAAATCAAAGGACTTTCTCTACAAAATCAAAGGCTAGGGTTTTTTCTCTCTCACAAAACCCTTTATCATGTCTTCATCATGCGACGGCAACAACTCATTTGAGGGGAGGTTTGTCAATTTGTATTGTAAGTATGGGAAAAGAGCCAAGATAAGGATCTCTAAACAAAAATCGTCTCTACTATTATTGTGTCGATAATGTCTGTGGATCATTTCTTGTAAGCAAGTTGACGTTGATTTTAGCTAGGCATGGCCACCGGTTCGGTTCTAACCGGAACCGAACCGTTACTGTAAGACGACCGAAACCGGACCGAAACCGCGGTTCAAAATTTTGAACCGGAACCGGCGGTTCAAAGGGAGCCCTGGTTAAAGTTCATGTGAAGTTACAAAAATTGAAACCTGAACCGGGCCCGGAACCGGCGGATTAACCGGCGGGGTTCCGGTCGCGGTTCGAACCGGATTCACATTATAAAATTATTTTATGAAAAAAAACATGCATCATTTTTAATTTTAAAAAAAGAAACATCGATCACATACACCTTTTTTTTGTTTTTTTAACATCCATCAACGTTTAAATTTTTTTACAAATACCTTTTGACCTATGTAAAATGTAATCATCATTCATGAATAATATACATTAAATTCACACAACGGTTTAAAACTTTAAAGGTCAAACAAAGTTCAAGCTATAATTAATTTTATTATATTTAATTAATTATTTATTTATTATATTTACTAAATTAATCCAAAAATATAAAATTGGTTTTTTTTCTGTTGTAAGGCGACCAATTTGGCGGAACTACATAAATGAAAAATATGTATAAATATGCATGAGTGATTTATTTTTTTTTCACAACCAATTATATTCTATCTCTTCCTCTTCTTAATATTGCTTTATTCCATACATCAAGTTCTAAATTCTATTAAATTCATATTCCATGTTATTCATTTTTTTTTCCATATTCCATTTAAAATAGGCACACAATTCACAAATCTCCAAAGGAAAGCGAGTGCGTTCAAAGCGTGGAAGAATTTGATTCAAATGATCCATTGTTTGATTTTTCACCACAAGAAGCCAATACTCCTAATATTTCAATAGAAACCCACCAAATCAGATATTTTCAAGAAAGACTTTTTGCAAAAATTGTTCAAAGATAATGAAGAAATCAATGCGGTTCGATGTAATTAATGCCAAAAAAGAATATTGCATTCAAGGCTTGGAGGAGGATTATGGCACTCTCAATAGGTATAAAATCACCATCATCCAAGTGAGAACTCAGACCAGCAAAATTCAAGCGATGATGATGATTCGGGACCTATAACGGAGACTAGTGGCACCGTATGACTAAAAATTAATTGTTAATAATTACAGGAGGTTATTTTCCAATGTAACAAAAAAAAAAGAGAACTAGTATAGGGCTTTGATTTCTATATCAGGAGTTAGCAAAATTTGAAATTTAATATAATAATAGTTCTAAAATTAATAGAAGTTTTTGTTTTAAAATTTTTATAATAATTTTTTAGTTAATTAAAATTTTAAACATTTTAAATATTATAAAATTATTATTTATTCATGAATTCGAAATCAAAATTTTATTATTTTTTTAAAAATTTGCGTAATGCCGGAACCGAATCGGAACCGTAATTTGAACCTTCGGTTCGCCGGAACCGTGCTGAACCGTGCCGGAACAGGAACCGGACCGAAACCGGAGGTTCAAGGGCCGGTTCCGGTTCAAAATTTTAAACTTCTCGAACCGGCGGTTCAATGAGCCGAAACCGTCGGTTCATTGAACCGGCCATGCCTAATTCTAGCCAAACCAAAGCTAATAGTGAGAATGAAGTGAGGCAAAGAAGCGTTACTCAAGGTGTTAGTGATGTGAAGGAGGAGATTTTGTTGATTCAGACCGAGATGAGAAGCATGGCAGGGAGGCTGGAATGCCTAGATGCAGAGATTGGTTACTTAAAATCGATTATTTGCGTTTTTATAATGTGCATATTGATGCTACTCATGGTTGTTGTGATTGTCCTTTGCAAGAAAAATTAGGGGTATGAAATGCCTATTTCTGGAGATTTAGGTGGAATGAGGTTGGGTTGGATGGAATGGAGTTATTTCAAAATATCTCCTTTTGATTGATCTCATTAAGGGTACAATATGGCATTTAATAATATATCTCTCTTCTCTCTCTTTGTTTTTACTGCGATTTAACGGCAAAAGCAGCTGAATTTGAACGGAAGCATTGTTTAACATGACGGAATCAAACCTCAGGGATTAAATAATTAATAGTCAAAAACACGAGTACGAGTTGATTAATTATGCAAAACCTCAAGGACAAAAAAAATATCTTCCCGAAATTATAAGCCCGTTCGCAGTGGCAGATCCACTTAATAAAAAGAGGGATAAATTGACCTTTTTTTGTTTTTGAATTTTCTAATATATATGTATATTATCTAAATTAATTCATATAGTTCAATTTATTTATGTTTTTGACCTTTTTTTTAATAAAAAATTATATATTTAATCTAGTAAAAAAAAAAAAAGTTTCTAGATCTGCCAGTGCAATATGAATTTGTCAGACAAGGGAAAGCCAACTTGATTGCTTCGGAATGGAGACTATCATAAGGCTCCGAGCTAAGTAAATGATAGCCCAAGACTATTTGAAGGTAACCGCGAGAACTCCAAAACTTAAAAAGCATTCTCCAATTCCAAAGCCAAGAATCTCAAACTAACCATTAGCAAAATATTCAAACTAACCATTAGCAAAATATTAAAAGGCAATATCAAGATCAAAAGTATACTTTTCTTGATTTATTTCCTAAACTCTTAGATTGATCCAACTATTTGTTTAATATTTATTTAATCAAGTTTCTTGAAATTAATATATATTTTGCTTTCTTTGGAGCCAATTAATTTTGGTTTGTAGATACATTTTCAGGGGAGCTAAATGGCAATTTCTCCTGAAGATTCCACTACAATTTGCACAAACTGGTTTGTGAATTACAAATTATATCTTTATGTATGAATGTAATTTCTTGATTTTCGGAATTGTTTAATATTAGAAGCTCTGATAATTTATTATGTTGGTTAGTGAGAAAGCAATTCCAGCCCCAAATATTAATTTGCATATTGAACATTGCACTCGTAAATTGGAAAGGTGCAAATTCTGTAGAGAAACGGTTCCTAAGAGGGAAGCGCGGAGATATTACTCAAACAAGCCTGTTTCGTATGTTGTTAATGTTTAAATATTAGGATGATCATTGGATTATTGTGTCTGAATATTTTTTTTAATTATTTTTAAGGATATCTTTCTCATATATTAAATTCTCATTATAGATTATAGCTACGAACCGGTTGAAAATAGCTAAATCGTGCTGAAAAAAAGAAGTTAATTATGGTAAAAAGGCAAAAATGTTAAAGATGGAAAACTACCTAAAATCCAAATCAGACTAAAATCAACCAAAATAGAAATCAAATTTGATTTAGCTAAGTTTGGAGTGGTTTCGGCTTTGAGCTACATTGAACTGCCGAAATGGAAATATTGGGTGCTAACATTAAATCACTGTTCTTTTCTAATTTTAGGATGTTCGTGGGAATCAAATACCGAATTGTCATCGTTGCCGCCACCGGAGGTATATTAATGCAGGTCGTAGACATCAAAGGGGAAATGCTTGGCCTCGCAGGGAATTTCTTTACACGGTTGCTATAACAGGAGCTGCGTTTTTTCTGAGCTCGGTTTTCTTCCAAAGAAAGGATGATAATAATGGACAATTGATTTAAAACATTTTCTCAATATTCTTATCCTAATCTTCAACTATAGCAAGGTACCTAGCATAGGTAAGTACCTTAGCATAGGTGTCCTTCATATATATATATTTATATATATATATTAATTTTTTTTAATAATTTTTTATAATAAAGTTTATTTGATTTCTATAATTATACTTTTTTTTTTTATTAAAGATGTCAATGGAAAAGTAATAAAATTAATATATGCACGTAGCAGCATTACCAAATATATTTTCCTAATATTTACTGACTGGGGATAGAAATATTGTAAGCCACGATACTCTTAAGTGATGATTACTAAACCACTAATAATTGAGTATTATTTTTCCAAAAAAAAAAAAAAAGAATTCATTTTTAGGGTTATGACATTTTTCCGGAAAAAATTAATATGAATTTGACAAAAATGTTAGTAAATTTTATTTTAAACAACTTTTAGAAGGCTCAAACTCATATAAGAAATAAAATATATTAATTTTATAAATAAAAAAAAATTCTAATAAAAATATAATTAGAGTCAACCAACACCTGAGTTCACAGAAAATATTTATAAAACTTGGAAAATAATTTTCTACACATATTTAAATTGCAAGACTTGAGTTGTTCCATTATGTGCCTTCATGTTTGTGTCAAAGAAAGAGCAGCACAACAATTCATGTGCAAGGTGAACTAAACAGGATATACAGCTAAGCAAAGATGAACTGCATCGGATCAGATATGATAATAAGTAACTTTTAACTTCCAAATCCGAGTCTACAAGCACTGAATTAACCATATTTCTACAAGCCATATTAAATTCTCCACCAAACTAATTATATATCCTTATAATTTTTTTTATCATTTTTTATAATTCTCCACCGGCTATTCTCCAACACGAAGGACACAAGAAGACAAAATTTGAGCCTGCAAATCATAAAATATTTCCTGCAACATAGTTGGAAACAAAATTAATTAATCCAATATTTGAGGTCAACTTTAGATTAAACCTAATATTGGAGGTCAACTTTAGAGTTAAAACCTCTTTTCTTTATATTCAAATTAGTTTACTTTTCTTTATGATTTCAAATAGTTGACGCTGTTGTGCCGGAGATAATTCCGCAGTGATGATTAATCATTCCTTTACAAAGGGATTGATTATTATAAAAATAAATTGAAGGATTGTATATATATATATATATATATATATATGCCTGACTGCTGATTCTGTACGGTACATTGTTTCATCTCTTTTCTGCTTCCATGGCCATCTTGTTCTTCAATTCCCTTATGATAAATTTCTTATTTATTATAACCTTTCATTTACTAATTCTTCCATTTGCAAGTTCCATTAATTTCAAAATAACTCGCTTCGATCCTAGTTCTACCAATATTTTATATCAAGGTGATGCAGTGCCTTCTGTTGGAGCTGTTGAACTAATTAACAAGCTTACTTATGTATGTCGTGTTGGTTGGGTCACCTATGCAGAACCTATTCCTGTTTGGGATTCTCATACAGGAAAGGTTTCTGATTTCTCAACCCATTTCTCTTTCATTATTGATGTTCAAGGTCGTTCTGCTTACGGCCATGGAATTGTATTCTTTCTTGCTCCTGTTGGATTTCAAATCCCTCCTAATTCTGCTGGTGGGTTTTTAGGCCTTTTTAATACGTCGACTAGTGATTCTTCTCAAAACCAAATTGTTACTGTGGAATTTGATTCATTTCCTAATGAAGAATGGGATCCTCCAGTAGAACATGTTGGGATTAATAATAACTCTATTGCTTCTGCTGTTTATACTCCTTGGAATGCTAGTCTCCATAGCGGAGATACTGCTGATGTTTGGATTAGCTACAATTCTTCTAGTAAAAATTTGAGCGTGTCTTGGAACTATAAATCCACCTCAAATTCTCATGAGAATTCCAGCTTGTTTTACACAATCGACTTAGTCAAAGCTTTGCCTGAGAAAGTAACTATTGGGTTATCCGCTGCAACAGGCATAAATGGAGCTCGGCATACACTTAAATCATGGGAGTTTAGTTCAAGTTTAGATATCAAGATTACAAATGGAAATAAGCCAAAGAAGATTAAAGTGATTGTTAGTGTTTCGGTCTCAGCTTTTCTTTTAATAGCTGGAGTGATAACATCAATGGAGATTTCACAAAGAAGAAAGAAGATTATCAGAAGGAGAAAAGCTGAGGCAATGAAATTATCGACAGGCATAACTTCCATTAATGAAGATCTTGAAAGAGGAGCAGGACCAAGAAGATTTTCTTATGAAGATCTTGTTTCATCAACCAATAATTTCTCTGATGAGAGAAAGCTAGGAGAAGGAGGGTTTGGTGCTGTTTATAAAGGGTATTTAAATGAAATAGATATGGCAATTGCTGTAAAGAAATTTTCTAGAGGATCTAAACAAGGGAAAAAAGAGTACATTACTGAAGTCAAAACCATTAGTCAACTGAGGCATAGAAATTTGGTACAACTTATTGGTTGGTGTCATGACAGAGGTGAATTTCTACTTGTTTATGAGTTCTGAATTTCTACTTGTTTATGAGTTCATGCCAAATGGTAGTCTTGATTCTCACTTGTTTGGCAAGAAAAATCCTCTTCCATGGTCTGTGCGCTACAAAATATCACTTGGATTGGCTTCTGCTTTATTATATCTTCATGAAGAATGGGAGCAATGTGTAGTACATAGAGATGTTAAATCAAGCAATGTAATGCTAGATTCTAATTTTAACGTAAAACTTGGAGATTTTGGATTAGCTCGACTTATGGATCATGAAGTGGGTCCTCAAACAACAGCAATTGCAGGCACATTAGGGTATTTGGCTCCGGAATATATAAGCACAGGAAGAGCTAGTAAAGATTCTGATGTTTATAGTTTCGGAGTTGTTGCATTGGAAATTGCTAGTGGAAGAAAGGCGATCGATCACATTGTGCAAAAAATTGGAATAAGTTTGGTAGAGTGGATATGGGATCTTTATGGATGTGGAAAATTGCATTTAGGGATTGACAAGAGGCTTAATATGGAGTATAATGAGAAAGAAATTGAATGACTAGTGATTGTTGGATTATGGTGTGCACATCCTGATTATAGCGTAAGGACATCAATCAGACAAGCAATTCAAGTGTTGAATTTTGAAGCTGCAATTCCAGATTTGCCTGCTAAAATGCCTGTTCCTATGTTTTGTGTGCCTACGCCATCTATTAGTTCTACTGAGCCTTCCATCACTAATTCTAGCATTGGAGTTGGTCGTTGATTAGATAAATAATCAGATTGTTGGGTTATGAACCTTTTGATTCATTAGTCTGGTCTTTTCTGTTGTGAATCTTTCTTCTTGTACTGCAGAATTGTTCTGTTTCTTTCCTATCAGAGCATATGATAGATTGCATTCCAGAAATAACTTGTGACCTAAGGTCGTGTTAAATTTTGGGCCCGAATGAGCAGAACAGTGTAGGCTGAATTTTTTAACTTGCAATGTCACAGTTCTATTGAATTGAATCTTAACATAAATTATTCGAGGGTATCTTTTCTTGTAATTGAGTGTAAAGACAATGTTGGGCCCTTTCAACTAATTAAGAGAAAATTAATACAGCGAAAAAATAAAAAATATCGTAACACACAGAAATTTACGTGGTTCACCCTTAACTGTTTAGGGCTATGTCCACGGGACAAACTCTGAATGATTCTTCCACTATTAAAAAAATAGTAGGTACACAAAGAGAGTATTACAAAAAAATATTGGGAAAAAATTACGCAAAATCCCTAATAAGTCGAAAATAACACACAATTTGATAACGGAGTTCGGCCAATCTTGCCTACGTCTTCGGACTGCCACATATCTTTTATAGGAGAAAAATAAATAAAGTGTTTACATACACTCACAACCCTCTATTCAAGAATACCCGAAAAATTAAGCTTATTTCTTCTTGAATAATCTCACTATTTTTCTCTCTCACAATTGCTCTCACTCTCTCTATTTGGTGTATTTAAACGGAGGCAAATCCTCTCCTATAAATAGGAGAGGAAGATGAGAGAGCCGTGTATCATTCATTCACGGCTCTCCATCACCTAATTTTTTTTTCATCACGTGTGTGGGTACACCACAACCTACCAACCTAACTTTGACAATCTCCCACTTGAAGACTGATTTCAATCTGTCTTCACACATTAATTCTGCGGCAATCTTCTCTGGTCTGTTTATTCTAGCAGGCCAACTAAGTCGAGCACCGAGCACAACTTCAGTTTGTCAATGGTCATCACCTTTGTTAACATGTCAGCTGGATTCTTATTTCCTTGAATCTTCTCTAACTTTAGCACATCATTCTCAAGCAGAGACCTGATGAAATGATATCGAAGACCAATATGTTTTGTTCTAGAATGGAATGCTGAATTCTTTGCCAAATGTATTGCACTCTGACTATCACTGTACAAAATATTCTTTTCCTGCTTGAATCCCAACTCTGTTAACAAATCTTGAAGCCATATCATCTCTTTGCTGGCTTCTGTCATTGCGACATATTCAGCTTCTATGGTGGATAGAGCTACAATCTTCTATACCTGTGACATCCAACAAACAGCTGTAGTACCAACAGTGAAAATATAACATGTGGTGCTTCTTCGGTGATCAATATCGCCTCCATAGTCTGCATCTACATAACCATAACCTTGTACTTTTAGTTCTCCTTTACCAAAGTACAAACACTTCTCAGTAGTGCCTCGTAGATACTTCAAAATCCACTTCACAGCTTTCCAATGAGCTTTCCCTGGATTTGACATATACCTGCTAACAACTCTCACTGCATGGCCAATATCTGGTCTTGTACAGACCATTGCATACATCAAACTTCCTATGGCTAAAGCATAAGGAATTTTGGCCATGTCTTTTCTCTCTTCTTCCATTTGAGGGGATTGGTCCTTGGATAGGCGAAATGGCTAGCTAAGGGTGTGTTGACCGGCTTAGCTTCGTTCATGTTGAATCTGTGCAATACACGATTGATGTACTCCGCCTGAGATAACTGCAACACCTATTTTTGCTTATCTCTCGTGATTTGCATTCCAAGAATCTTTTTCGCTAGACCCAAGTCCTTAATCTTTTTGACAATTGCTTCTTTTCAAGTTTTTGATTTGTTTATATCTGGTCCTGACACTTAACATATCATCAACATAAAGTAACAAATGATATAACTAGTTCTTTAAACCTTTTGATAGTGCAACAGTGGTCGGGCATTGCACTGTCTGGAAGCCTTCATTTGGCATGAAACTGTCGAACTTTGTACCCACTGTCTGGGAGCTTGTTCAGTCCATACAAGCTCTTCTTTGAGTTTGCACACCATATTCTCTATTTCCTTTCTGAGGAATCCTTCCGGCTGATTATATTCAATATACATTATGATTTCAGCATGTCAGGCCATACAGTCAACCAGTTTGTAACGTCTCGGTCCGGTTCATTCGGGTTTACGGATGGACCGGAAAGGGGTGTTACACTGATAGTATTGAGTTTTACAACTGGTGCAAATATGTCAGTGTAGTCAACTCCTTCCTTCTGCTGGAACCCTTTGACTACCAGTCGAGCTTTGTATCTCTTAGAACCATCATGTTCCTCTTTCACTCGATAAACCCATTTATTGTGAAGTGCCTTCTTTCCTACGGGTAACTCAGCTAGTTCCCATGTTTGATTGGAGATTAAAGACTTCATTTCGTCTTTCATGGCAAGTTTCGTCTTTCATGGCAAGCTCCCACTTGCTGGCATGTACCGTTTGACATGCTTCCTCAAAGCATTCAAGTTCTCCTCCATTTGTTAATAACAAATAATTCATATATCTTCTGTTAGGCTTTGGAGGATGTTCAAACCTTCTTAAAGCTTTTGGAGGAGAATTTTGTGGTGTGTCAATTGATTCTTCTGATTGGGTATCTTTAACTAACTCATTCGGCAGATTTTCTGAGATATCGTCCATCTCTACAAACACTGGCCCACTCTGCTCTGAGTCGCTGGCAACTGTGTTATGTTATGTCTGTTCTTATACATCATTCTTTCATTGAAGATCACATCTCTGCTGTGGATCACTTTCTTGTTTTCTTCATCCTAGAGGCGGTATCCAAACTTATCACCGCCATAGCCGATGAAAATGCATTTCTTAGATTTGGGATCAAGCTTGTTCCTACCATGATCACCTATATGCACATATGCTACACAACTGAAAATTCTTAGGTGTGAGAGTTTTACTTCTTTTCCACTCCATACCTCTTCTGGTATTTTGTGCTCCAATGGTACCGATGGACCTCGGTTGATCAAGTAAGCTGCTCTGTTGACTGGTTCTGCCCAGAACTGCTTTGGTAAGCCAGATTGTATACGTAAGCTTCTGGCTCTTTCTGTCAACGTTCGATTCATGCGCTCAGCTACACCATTGTGTTGAGGCGTGCCTGGCACGGTTCTCTCCATCTTGATTCCATGCTCATAACAGAATGCGAGTTTTCATAGCGGAGATACTGCTGATGTGTGGATTTCTTACAGTGGTAGTAGTAAAAATTTGAGTGTTTCATGGTCTTACAAAAACACCGTAAATCCTCAAGAAAATTCTAGTTTACATTGTGTAATTGATCTCACCAAGGTTTTGCCTGAGTTTGTTTGAGTTTGTTACTATTGGTTTTTCAGCTGCTACAGGCGCAATCCAGGAAAGTGCTCAAATTCTTTCATGGGAATTCAACTCCACCTTGGAAATAAATGAAAAAACTGAAAAATTTTCAAAAAAGACAAGAACAATAGTTGGAGTTGCAGTTTCTTTATGTCTTCTCGGAACTGTGGCAGTAGTAGGAATTTTGATTTCCTGGAGGAGGAAAAGAATAAGAGCGGTGAAAATGAAAAATGAACTTAACAACATCAATAAATAATGAAGAACTCGAAAGAGGAGCAGGACCGAGAAGAGTTTCTTACCAAGATCTTGTTTCAGCTACTAATAATTTCTCAAATGAAAGATTGTTAGGTAAAGGAGGGTTTGGTGCTGTTTATAAAGGGTACTTAATAGATATAGATATAGCAATTGCTGTAAAGAAAATTTCAAGTGGGTCAAGACAAGGTAAAAAGGAGTACATAACATAACTGAAGTGAAAACAATTTGCCAATTTGAGGCATAGAAATCTCGGTGCAAACTTTTGGGTTGGTTCATGATAGAGGTGAATTTCTACTGGTTTATGAGCTCATGCTATGGTAGTCTTGATGCTTCACTTATTTGGGAAGAAACATCCTCTTCCATTGGTCTGTTAATATTACAAAATATCACTTCGTCTAGCCTCGGCTTGACTTTATCTTCATGAAAGAATGTGAGCATTATCTTCATGAAGAATGGGAGCAATGCGTTGTGCATAGAGATGTTAAGTCGAGCAATGTAATGCTCGACTCTAATTTTAATGTGAAGCTTGGTGATTTTGGTTTAGCGCGTCTTATGGACCATGCACTCGGTCCACAGACAACTGGGTTGGCCGGAACTCTTGGTTACTTAGCTCCGGAATACATGCTCACTAGAAGAGCTAGTAAAGAATCAGATGTATACAGCTTTAGGATCGTGGCTTTAGAAATTGCCAGTGGGAAAAGAGCAGTTGATCATATAATTAAGCAAGAAAATGAAATGAATCTAGTAGAGTGGATTTGGGAACTCTATGGGCATGGTAAGCTTCATTTGGGTTTTAACTTTATATGGATTTTTGATGAGAGGCAAACTTGAGTTCTGATGATTTGTTGGATTTATGGTGCGCTCATCTGATTCGTGCTCGATAGTGCCTCAAATAAGACAAGCAAATTTCAAGTTTTTGAAATTTGAGAAATGAAATTCCATATCTTCCTTCAAAATGCTATGTGCCATAATATTTTCATGCAACTGCAACCCACCTGCTGCTAAGGCGTTAGTTCACCCTCCATAACTGATTCTAGTCTTACAAGTGGGCCGGTGAGTAATTTTCCTTGCATTTGTAATTCTATCTTCTTTGAAGACCTAAACGTTAAATGGTGTTTTTTTTTTTTTTTTTTTTTTTATGAAAGAAAAATGTGTTATTTCGTTAGTTAAAATTGAATGTTCCAGTAATAAATTATGTGAAGAGTGTTTGGAACTAAGAAGCATTAGAAGTGATTATGAGTAACGGAATAATATCTAAGAATTATTACATAATACAAGGGTTTTTTTTTTTTTTTTTTTTTTTTTTTTTTTTTTTTTTTTTTTGTGTATAATCCTTTACCTCTCTAAGTTAATTCCTTAGTATTTTTTC